TGGTCTGATTCCAAGAAGATAACTTTGAATTATGGGGCTTCTTTAAGTAAGGATTCTTTTTTCGTAAACACTCGACAATATGAAAATATTTTCTTAGAGTAGATTATATTTAGATAGATTTTTAGAGAAGAGTTTTTGTATTTACAATTGTTCCATACTTTATCACTGTCCACATTTGACTTTTAAAACATTCCAAGTTAACCCTGGCTGGTGTGGCTCAGTGGATTAAGTGCAGGCCTATGAACCAAAGGGTCTCTGGTTCAGTTCCCCGTCAGTGCATATTCATGGGTTGCAGGCCAGGTCCCCATAGGGGGTGTGCAAGAGGCAACCACACATTGATGTTTCTCTCCCTCTCTCTCTTTCTTCCTTCTCCTCTCTCTCAAAATAAATAAATAAAAATATTTTTTTTTATTCCCAATCAAAAACAAAATCTGTTTTAAGAATAAATTTGAGGTGTACTAACTGACAGTGTGTAATGATGTCATAATTCTTGTTAAGAATTAAGATGTTAAGATGTCTCAATGATGTTGAATTCTTGTGTTTACTAGTTTACAACCACCACAAAATTGTCAGATAACATGTGTGAGTATTTTACAAATGGGTCTGCTTTATTTTTTCAAAGCTGAAATTATGCTCTGTTAATTATCCTACCATTTAGAAAATTACTTTTATCATTGCTTTGCCACTTGGCAATCGGGGTGTAAAGTTGGCACTATGTGGTAACCATTCATTAAATTTAGTCTGGGCCACATGATGTTAATTGCTTTGCATCAAAAGATATCATTTGGTATATGTAAGTTTAGTTATAAATTTTTTCTAGAGGAAAAACTTCTGGGCTCTTAGTAGCATAAGCTTGTTTAAATCATCCTTTGTTTGCAATTCATACTTTTTTTTCTTTTTTGCTTTATACCATTCCCTCAGATTTATTGCATGCATTTTACAGATTTTTTATGTGCCTTCTAGTGATACTATTTAGTTTGCATAATTAGCATTCACATTAGAATGACTGCTTGGAAAATCTCACCCATATTGTTCTATATTTACTTTCCCTGTGAATTCATCCACTCCCATAGCTCGGCTGTCTCTGCTTAGATGCTGCTACCAATTTTGCTAACTGGCACTGTCTAACTCTTTCCTAGATTAGTTCTGCAGTCTTCTGTTATATCTTTTTTCATTGGGTTTGCCCTACGTATCCAATTCTTTATCTATAGGTAACTAGAATGATCTTCCCAAAACTTCAATCTTGAGTAATTTTCTGCCTTAAGTCCTTGAGAAGTTTCCCATAGTTCTTATCTCCCCCAATCTCATACTATTATGTACTTAGCCACTGAAATTTTTTTAGTTCCTCAGTTATACCCTGGCCACTGGGTATTAACATATACTCCTCACAGTACCTGGAATAAAGTTTCCCACCCTTTTGCCTCGATGATTTGTGTTCATCTTCCAGTGTTTCCCCAGGAGGCAGATCTCCTGAGACTCTTCTGTCCCACTCCTTTGTACTGGCCTCTAGATGGGGGCAGGGACTCATCCTCTAGCCTCTTGTGGCATCCCGAACTTCCGGTAGTATTTATTCGTCACATTTAATTGTATCTGTCTGTTTTCTCTGGTTGGCTCCTCAGAAATTAGACTTTTGTCCTGACTCACCTTTGTCCTGAATAAAACAATATTTTATATGCATTTCATTTAGGGACTTTGTTTTTAAAGAATAAGAAAACCCATAATGGGAAAGTACGGAGACTTCTTAGTTGCCATGCTATCCCTAGCACTTAACATGGTGCCAGATACGTGGCAGATGCCAACATTTTTAATGAATACCACTGGTGAGCAAATTTGTGTTCAGCCAGGCACTCGAATTCAATAAACTCAAACCTCAGATTCCTTCCCCCTGAGCTCTTCTCCTCTCCTCGCCCCTCCTTCCCCTTCCTTCCTCACTCCATTTCCTTCTTTTCTTTCATTTGTCACTGACATTTCCAAACCAGAACTTCTGTATTCCTTACCCGTGTCAGTTATCAGATTCTATCAATTTTGCTCCCCGATGGTTTCTGACACTCACTCCTCAACTCCATTTCTTCACAGATGCGTTATGTCAGGCTTCCTGTCATGTTATACCTTGTCAGTTACAGAGCCTTCTGATTTATTTGTTACTTGCATTTCAGCAGTTTAAAAACAAAATATAGTACCATTTTAAAGCATTATAGTCTCAAAATGATTTTTAAAAATCCAGAAACTAGATATTTTTTCTTATGTCTTATCTTTCTAAATTAACTGTGTGTATTCATTTATTTAGTAACTTTGTTCATTTTCAAGAATAAAAACTATTATTGAATCAACTACATACAAATATAATTTTTTAAAGATACTCATATGAAAAAGGAAAATCTTTTTGCACATCATCAATGACTATGTCACTTTTTCCGTGTAACGTTAAATGCCAGCCGTGACTTTTAACAGAGCTCACTGACTTACTGACCAGTCCTCCGAGGCCATCATCATCTCTGGAAGAAGCTTCCCAGCCATAGTGTGAAGTGCAATTTCGTCTTAAAAATGGGCCAACATGGAATAACAGGGACTTGTTTTACTTTCTTTCCTGAAACAATAAAAAAGAAACCCACTAGACAAAATATATGAAACAATGGTTTTCAGAAATTGGACATTAGGCAGTACCTGGCAGTGATCCCTGAGGGACAGGAATACAATGAGCTGAGTTATGTGATTGCTCGAGTTTCCTGCCTAGTCAGCATTTCCAGGCCTCAACTCGGGTTGGCGAAACCCAGAAGGAGCCCAGTGGGCTCCCCAGTTTGAGAAGATGGACTTAGAAGTGTGAGGAGACCATGGGGCAAGAGTTAGTAGGGTGGAGGGCCAGGGGGAGGAACGCTGCACAGAGAAGAGAGCACTGGAAGTCTGCTGATGGTCTCTTCCCTGTCTGCAGCCGAGTACTGGGTTACACGGGTGTGATGGGAGCCTGCCTGAGGCCGATAGAACCACTGCCCAAAAAGGATTAAAGGCAGCCACCTTAGCCACTCACATAGAATCTGTAATCGTTTTTGTTGCCTTCTGCCAGAGTAGGCAAACCTCATATTCATTAGATGTCATAGAGCACTCAGAAGGGCAATCCCTCACCAAAGAAGAGAAACTAGTCCTGCTTAACAACGTTTAAAAGCAAGCTTTGAAAGCTACCTAATATATGTCTAATTGGAGACTCTGAAAGAGAGACTGGTGGAAGAGAGGGCAGAAAACGTATTGGAAGAAATAATAACTGAAAGTTCTCCAAATTTGGTGAAAATTATAAAAGCAGATTCAACAAGCTTAGTGAGACGGTGGGGAGGGGGGTTAAGAAAACTATACTGAGGTTCATCATAACCAAATTGCTTAAAGCCAGTAATAAAGAGAATGTATTAAAGCATCCAGAGGGAAAAAATCGCGTAACTACAAGTACAAAGGAACAGAGTTAAGCATGTTGGCAGATGTCTAGTCTGAAACAATGCAAGATAAACGACATCTTTAAAATACTAATGGAAGGGGGGAAACATTCCTTGGAAATAACTCAACCCACCATGGAAGTATTATTTGCAGTAACATTTGACATGTGTCTGAAAAGCAGACACTTAGATGGGCATTTTGTTTGATGATACAAAATTTTTTATCTATTTTTTATATAGCATTTTATATTTTAAAAGTGCTTTTCTATGGGAGAAAACTTTACTTTCACTCATTTTTAAGATAGCTAGGATGGGTGATTTTATCTGTTTTACACGTGAAGAAGCTAAAATACATAGGTAATATGATTTTCAGTTTCATAAGATCTAGAAATATAATCAGGTTTCTTGACTTCCTATTCAGTATTCTTGTTCTGAGGTCTCCTCATTATTAGCTGTGTTTTGCTCAAAAAATACTTTTTAAACTTAGAGACAATCAGAGCATATAAAATGTGTGGAGTGCTATGAATGCAGTAGTAGATAATACAGTATTTAGCAATTCTTTGGTATCTTGACATTTGGAATAGTATGTAAAGGAAGTAAATTGAAAATCTTATTAAATCTCAAGGCTGAAATAGAAAACAGGAAAAATTAGAGAATATACAAGTATATTAGACCATGTGTGAAAAGATGTTACAGTATTTAAACTTCAAGAAAATGAGCGAAAGTGGAAAAATTGCTGTGGTTGTAGAGAAACTTTTAATTAAATAATGTTATTTCTGATGTTTTGAAAGTTGAGTTTATTTTAATTACTATATTAAATTTCAACAGAGACCCTTTCAATAATTTGGTTCAAATTAAAATGTGGCAGGAATTAGTTGGAAAAAAAACTTTATTTTCTTCTTGTATTTATTTATACTGCATGTGTAGTATGTAAAATATAATAATTAAATAGTACCTTGGCATTTTTCATTGCATGCAATGTAGCAAATTAGTTTTGACCCATTGCTAGCAGTTGTGTGGAATGAATATGGTCCATTGTCCTTTTTGTTTCCACTAAAGGTTCTTCAAATAGTTCCCAAGGGAGGGTTTTCAGCCTTTCCTATTTAAGAGAAATTTTGAGTAAGTCTTCATCGTAGAAATGGGATTGAAGAGTTAGAACTGGAAGGGGGATGGGATTTAAACAGGCCACGGAAGAACGTTTCCGGTTACCAGCGGTAACCGGATGGTTAACAGATGGGTGCACAATAGGTGAGTCATCAGGAACCCTGACGTGTCCTCTTGGGACAGTGAGAGGGGCTCTGGCTGGGAGGGAGTCAGAAATGACGCAGAGAAGCTAGGGTAGGGCTCCATCACCAGAAGCCTTCACAGACAAGTAAGAGAAGCAGGTGGGTGGTGCTGAAACTAGCACTTACTCTTGAACTTGAGTGAATTGTCTCTCATCCAGTTAGGAAATACGAAGTTTTGACACTTGTATGTATGTTAACATTCATTGGTTTAAATCTGAACAAGTCTAGATTAAATGACAAAGCAAGAATTATGTGCCTGAGGAAGTGAATGTGGGTTTTTTTGTGTGTTTTCTAGTCTACTCCTTTGCATCTAGCAGCGGGCTACAACAGAGTTCGCATAGTGCAGCTGCTTCTCCAGCACGGTGCTGATGTTCACGCGAAAGACAAAGGGTAGGTGTGTCCATTGTTTCCTTTGATGGTTTTACTCGTGGATGGTTATGCTTTCTTTTCAACACGTGATGCACTGAAGTTGTTGAGCACGAGGCAAAGAAGGTCATATATCCCATTTTTTACAGCTTGGGTTGCATTTTAAGAATGTTTGCAACTTTGGTTTGATTTTATTTTCATATACTACTTACTAAAGATGCTTCTCATAATAATTTCCTTAATTAGCTTAATTTTATTGCAATTCTAATATTTGAAGTTAAAATTTGTTTCTCTCAATTGCAATTATTATTTTTCAACTCAAGTTGCATTTCAGAAAGACAGATAAAACAAAAGTAAAATTCCGATCATCTTTTAATATAGTTATCATATTTATCTAGCATGAAAGGATCATCTCTTATTAATAAGCCAAAACCCTAAGTATACAATATTCTAATTTGGCTTTTTCCCAATGAAATCTTGGATATCTGACCTGGGAAAACCTAAAAGTTCCTTATGAAGGTTGACCTGACTGGGCGAGAGGCCATCAAAGAAAGCAGTGATGCCATTTACTTTATGAGGAGGTGCATTTTAGAAAACTTTGTACCACTTTCCTGTCCAGTCTCCAGAGACACAGGAATCAAGTCGGCTGTCCTATATGATGGGCTGACATTTCTCATTATTCCACTTTAAGATCAGAAAGATAATTTGACCTTACTACCCAACTAAAGTAGATTTGTACTACCCTCTTGGAATCGGCAGCATGGAAAGGAGAAGCCCTGGAGGAGGGTTTTCTTTCGCTTTGCCCCTTTCTGTGTCAGGAAACAGAAATGAAGAAAGAACTCACCACTGGAGAGTTTTCAGAGGGGGAGTCCGTCCATTTCAGACCCTCTCCTTTCCGTGCCCTGTTTCTCTCTCGCCTGCGCCAGGTTTTATGCCAGGCGCGAGTGGCTTCCCAACAGGATAGGGCTGCACGTGCCTGATGCTCTTGTGCATCTGTTTCCCTGTGCATGTCTGGAACAGATGGGTGCACAATAGGTGAGTCATCAGAAGTACAGCACAGAGGGTCTTGGACTCATACAGTGATACTTTGAAATGCAAGCTACAGTAGTTTGGCCATTTCATTCTTACTCTGGAAATTACTTTGAAAGTCAAACAGAATGGTAGGAGTATTTCAGTTCTCCATCCATTAACATTTATTTACTATAAATACTTCATATATAAAGCATGCAGTTGTCAATTAGCATATGTTCTTTGTTTGCCTAAATGCTTTTCTAATTGGTGTTTTTATCAGTACTTAAGGATTATATACACAAAATACAAAATAAATACAAAAGATTGAATATTAACTGTGTTTTATATAATCTAATTAAATACTTTAAAATATCTTTAATATAACTATATTGGGATTGGTTAGACTTTTGTTTCTTAGCACTTCTTGGATAAATGACCATAGTAACTTGTTTGAAATTTCAGTATTTTCATTTGCCCTTTTTTTTTTCATTTAGTGGACTTGTGCCTCTTCATAATGCGTGTTCATATGGACATTATGAAGTCACAGAACTGCTACTAAAGGTAAAAGAAATTTAAAATATTGAATTTTATTTGCTTCTTTTAAACTTGTCATGAGTTTTCATGTGTTTTTTACTAAATAAGATTTTTAAGAGAATAAAACAATTTTTCAAAGTATTATTGCTTACAATTTTAAAACATTCACCTTATTTTAAGCTATTTTTTAAAAGTTGAAATTAGTATAATTAAAATATTCATTGACATTTGAAAGAGTTGTATCTGACATTTACAGTGAAATAAATGTCTTCTAAGTTTTGTCTGATCCAGCGAAATGATTACTGACCTAAAACTTTTTCTCAACTCAGCATGGAGCCTGTGTTAATGCTATGGATCTCTGGCAGTTCACTCCGCTCCATGAGGCTGCTTCCAAGAATCGTGTGGAAGTCTGCTCTTTGTTGCTTAGCCACGGCGCTGATCCCACTTTAGTCAATTGCCATGGGAAGAGCGCTGTGGACATGGCTCCAACTCCTGAGCTCCGGGAGAGATTGACTTGTATGTATTCATATCCTGAAATCACCGTTGTTCATTGCAAATTAGAGTATCTCATTTTTGTTTAGTTATTAGGGCTGGTGTTTTGTCTGACTTGGACGGTATCCTTCCATTCTGACACATACGCTAGTTTAAAATCCTCATTTCTGATCATATACTTTTCTTCATGATACCACACGAAACTTCATATTATTTATTATTCAACCTAATTCTAATTCACAAGATAAGACTCCCCCTACCACCACCTTTTTTAAGGCTGAGGATGAGCCAGTCACTAACCATTTATTGATACCTACTATGTGCTGTGCAGTGGCAATACAGCAGCATAAAACCAGAAGAAAATCTCGGCGCTCACGGAGCTCATGTCCCTGCGCTGTGGTTATGGTAGATGACGGCTGACGTTACCGAGCACTTACTGTTCCCCAGCCCCCGCAGTGCTGCGTGGTCACGCTTTATTTCTTATGTGTGTCAGAGCCCAAGTAAAATCTCTTGTCCACATTTACGTGAAGATAAGTTTTAAGACTCGGTGGAGGTAATCTAAAGTACTAATACATATCTTATTTATATACACACACACACACACATTTTAAATAAACTTTTTGTTGTAGAATAGTTCTAGATTTATAGAAAAGTTATAAAAACGTTCCAGAGGTCTCATATACCCCATACCCAGTTTCTACTGTTACTAACACCTTACATTAATATGGCACATATGTCAGAATTGACAAACCAGTGTTGATAACATTATTAACTAAAGGGCACACTCGATTCACATTTTCTTAGTTTTCCCCTAACGTCCATTGTCTTTTCTAGGCTCTCATTCAGGACACCACATTGCATTTACTTGTCGTATCAAATATTGAGATGTATTTAATTCTGTACAGGAGCATTTCAGGTTTCAGTTGAACTAGGCAACACTTACCTATTTTTTTAACTGGTCTATCGTTTGGTATTCTCTCTTATATCTGGGATTCTAAGAATCGGGTAACTGGATTTAAACACCTGAGAAATCTTTAAATGATAGCTTTAGAAAGGGGGCTTAGTCAAAATGACGTTAACATCTTTTACTGTTAAGCAAATTTCAGACTAGCTCATGTTAAAAGAGAAAGAGGTCTTTTCAGTTTTGATCTGCAGTGGAAATTTAAACTCACTTTGGTGCTGGAACAGATGAGATCCACTGGATCCCAGCCCACGCAAACCAGATCACAGCTGGGCGGACGTCTTGGCCGCCCTTGTAGAAGCACCATTCTCCCTCCCGCTCAGACGAGTCTTGCCGTCTGTTGTCTTGCATTATACAGTTCATGTTTCTGTGTGTCGGTCCTGTCTTCCCAGGGAAGTTTAAATTCCTAGAAAGACCTGGGGTGCAAATTCTGCGTCCTTCGCACCTGCGCAGTGCCCTGAGTGGGTGGCATCTGTGTTAGGCTGCGTCTCCACCTGCCCCCACCTAGCACAGCGCACTGTGCGTGTGCTCAGTTTATTGAGTTGAGCTTAGCTCAACTCAGAACTAATTTTTTAATCTGTTTCTCATTTCCTTTTTATTTATTTATTTATTTGTTTGCTTGTTTGTTTATTTATTTATTTATTGAGAGGGAAGGGAGGAGGACAGAGAGAGAGAAACATCAATGTGCGGTTGCTGGGGGTCATGGCCTGCAACCCAGGCATGTCCCCTGACTGGGAATTGAACCTGCGACACTTTGGTTCGCAGCACACGCTCAATCCACTGAGCTACACCAGCCAGGGATCATTTCCTTCTTTTAGTTTATACCCTGGGCTCTGCTTAATCCCCATGTCACCACTTTATTTTCCTTTCTATCATTTTGCAAGTCATGACTACTATTATGAGATTTTGAATTGTATTTCATTGGTCTGATTCTAACCTAAATCTGAATATTTAACCTAAATTTGTATAGTTATTTATAATGGAAGAAATCCCCTGATAACTTTTTGAACTTCTCAGTGTCTCCTTTATTTTATTAAACAAGATTCTACCGAGGAATTATCTGAAGAAAAGGGCTTAATGAAGTTAGAACTTCTCAACCCACTTTGTATCTTCATGCCCCCTGCTTTACCCAGGTGTCCATAATTGCAGAATGCTTTTTAAGAACATTATATAGATCTCAAAAACGGTATTTTCATCAGACCTATGCCTACAGTATTTTCATCACACACATTTTGTTTCTGCTCTTGTCTATTTTTTTAATTTGCTGTTTTTATGAAGCCAAATGAACAAGGTAGTTTGGGTTCTGCACATAATTGGAGCTAAAAACACTGTAGCTTTCAGTCTTGTTACAAACTGCATTTAGAAAGAGAAACTTTTAAGGCATTTTATAAATATTAAGTTTCCAGGGTAAGTTTCAGTAATTAGCAGTTTTGCCACTTTTTTTTAACTACTTTACTTACCTGAGGTTTTAAAAACAAACCTTTATGTAACCCTTGCATTTACAAGGACAGTTGCATAATTGATAGATTTTTTTTTTTCATTTTCTGGGTTATTTTTTTAATCTTGAGTATTTGTCAATGAAATATTTTAAATTTGGAAGTCAATTTGAGCAGAAATCTTTACTTTAACATTTTTTTAAAGAGCTAAGATAACAGAATATTTCTTGTTATTTGAGAAAATATTAATGCTATTTAATTCTATTATTGCTTCATAATTCCTTAATACTGCAGTCTTACTGTTTATGCTTTTCATAAGTTTGCCCATTTAGTTTCCTTCTGAGCCACCTTTCCTGAACTTAAAGGAGTAACTTCTCTAGACAAATGGATGAACAAAGCAAAACCGTACTTTTTACTTGAAATCAGCTTCGCAGTTGTCAGGATCCTGCTCCTTACGTGTGACGGTTTATAATTCTCTCACTTTATCCCTAATTTTGTCTTGATACACAATTTTCTTGCTTGAAAATACTGGTTTGCTTTCATTTGACCTGGATTTGGGGTTTCTGAAGTTTCAAAGTCCTGTATTTTGAGGAATTTAGCAGTGCTAATGTACCACTAAACAAGAGATTATAAGAAAAAAATTCTTTGCATGAACCTACCATGACTACTATTTTATAAATATTCATCATTCATGCAACAAATGCTTACCGAGTAGCTAATGCACTGTGTGGGCAATAGGACTGCCGTAGCAGATAAGACATGTGATATGCCCCGTGACACAGGCTGAATGTAAGTGTGGTGGACTTCATAGGAAGGTTTATCAGAGAATCTGAACTGAGACCTTGAATGATGAGCAGTAGTTAATAAGACACATGTGCCAGTGTGTCTGTGTCTTTTTTTAAATTGAAGTATAGTTGGCATGCAGTAATATATTAGTTTCAGGCGAATAACACTCACATACATACCTTATGATGTGATCACCAGAGTAAGTCTAGTAATCATCTATCATCATACAAAGTTATTATAATATTGTTAATATTTTCCCTGTGCTGTACCTTCCATCCTATGACTTATTTATTTTATAACTGGAAGTTTGTACCTCTGTATTTCCTTTACCGTTTTCATCCGTCTTCCCACCCACTTACTTCCCCTCTGGCAAACATCGGTTTTTCTCTGTGTTTGTGAGTGTGTTTCTGTTTTGTTTTGACCACATCTTTATCCATTGGTCTGTTGTTGGACTGACAGGTGGCTTTTATACTTTGGCTATTATAAGTAATGCTACAGTGAACATGGGGTGCATATGTTTTTTCAAATTAGTGTTTGTGTTTTCTTTGGATAAATACACAGAAGAGGAATTGCTGGGTTGTATGGTAGTTCTTTTTAGCTTTTTTGAGGAGCCTTCATGCTTTTCCAATAGTGGCTGCATCACTCAACAATCCCACCAATACTACGCAAGTTTCCTTTTTCTCCACATCCTTGCCATCACTTGTTGTTTGTTAGCTTTTTGACAATAGCTATTCCAACAGGTGAGAGGTTTTTATTTGCATTTCCCAGATGATTAATGGTGTTCAGCATCCTTTTATGTCTGTTGGCCATCTGTGTGTCTTTAGAGAACAGTTTTTAGCTTTTTATTAATAAATTGACATTTCAAAATAAAAACCAAATTTGTAAAATAGAAAATAAGACTACATGTTTTGAATAAATAAAAGTATTAGATTCTGCCCTGGCTGGTGTGGCTCAGAGGATTGAGAGCCAGCCTGCAAACTGAAAGGTTGCTGACTCCACTCTCAGCCAGGGCGAATGCCTGGGTTGCGGGCCAGGTCCCCAGTTGGGAGTGTGCGAGAAGCAACTTATTGATGCTTCTCTCCCTCTCTTTCACCCTCCCTTTTCCTGTCTCTAAAAATAAAATCTTTTTTTAAAAATGATTAAAAATTTTTTAAAGTATTGGATTCTTATTTATGCAATTTAGAAATCCCTTTTTAACAGTCTTTCTTGCTTTTATATAAAAATAAATAAAATATTAATTGTTCTTTGAAAATTTTTAAATTCTGGCACTTCCTCCATAATTCAGTTCCTTCTCTGTGAAGACATAATCATTGCATAATATTTTGGTGAATATTTTTCTAACTGTCTTTTTTTATATTATTACTTACGTTTAGTTGTGGTGGCAATAGTAGTAGTAATAGTACAAAAAAATTGGGTTAATTTATCCTTCCTCTTATGCTACTTGAATTTTCATTTAATAGTACATACTTCTATGTCAGTAAATATAGGTCTACCTTTTCTCTGTAAGAGACACAAAGTATTTTGGTAGATAAGTGTTTACAAGTTATTTAACTAGTTTCTATTTGGTGGACAGTTAGGGTGCTTGTTTTAAAAATCTATTTGGTGGACAGTTAGGGTGCTTGTTTTAAAACTTTTCTGGAGTGAGTATATTTGTATGTGTATGTCTGTGAACTCTTAACAGTACCAATCAGTCTTATTTCAGAACATACATAATTCATAATTTTTCCATTAACCTACATCCTCAATCTTTGCACCTTTATCACTGTATCATCATCAAGAGCAGCTGCTGCTCTTGCTAAAGTAGAGAATGTGTAAAGTTAATAATTTTCATAATTTATAATTATGCTAATGATTTTATAGGTTTTACATTTTTGTTAATGTCAACCATTATTGTATTAACAGATGAATTTAAAGGTCATTCTTTACTACAAGCAGCCAGAGAAGCAGACCTAGCCAAAGTTAAAAAAACACTTGCCTTGGAAATCATTAATTTCAAACAACCACAGTCTCATGAAACTGCATTGGTAAGATTTTATTGTTTACTGCTTCTGTGGGTTTTTAATAGTGATATGAGCACAAAATATGGTTTTATTTCAGAACCTTAAAATAACTGTGGTATCTGAAGTGACAGGGGTTTCCATTTTAATGTTGGTTGGATTAATTTTTAAATTTGGTTCAAGAGGCAATGGTTTTCAGGGTGAGAACAGACTTGCTCAACCTTGATTTGGGAATTATTTTTACATTTGTTTTTACCCAACCATATCACAGCAAATCCACCCTTGTGGCCAGTGCTTTCATAGATACAAGATGTGATTTTTCTCTATGGAATCTTCTTTTTCTTGTGGTTGCTAGACAAATACATATTTGTTTTCTACAGAAGATTATGGTGTTTTCAGAGATACTTGCATTATCCTTTTGAGTAACCACATTCTAAGAATTAGTACATACATCATAAAAAATGGTAAGATTGTGACAGTTTTTTTCCAGACCATACCAGTTGTCTTTAAAGTTATTCATGTTTTCCCTTCTAAGGTACTTCTCGAAAAATTGGTTTATGTTCCTTGGGACTGGCCAGGTTAACATTCAGGTGCAGGGCTGGTTAGAGTGCTCCCGCATTCAGAATCCAAACCCCGGTGACACCTCTGTCGTAGACCTCCAGACATTCTTCAGTTAACGTTCTCTCGGGCCTGGCCCAGAACTAGTCCAGCTGCCATCAGTACACATGGTTCACTTTATTTATTGTGAATAGTTTTTTATTTTTTAAGTTTTCACATGAACATTAATATAAAATGGATTTGAATATAAACGTTGTATAAATCTAGGATAAAGCAAACTTTCTGAGAGTGCTTCTCCCTCTAAACTCTTGGGGGTCTCTTACCTCCTCGCCTGTCCCTGGGCACAAGGGCTCATTCCCGGCAGTGCGGGCAGAGCCTCTGCGGAGGAGCCTGGAGAAGTGGTGCCTGTGGGGCTGGCAGCCTCCTGCAGGACTGGCACATTCAGTTAGCGGTCCCGTGGCTTCGGAGACAGTATTCCGATGCCCGCAAGTAAACATAGACTGGATAACTATGTATTGGCTAAAGGAAAAGGAAAAAGTCTTTCTTAGTACTTAACTAAGAGCATAATTTCACCTTTCTTTCAAAACTTATGTTTTATAATTCCAGGGTACTTAGGAGGAATTTTGATCATCTTGATAATGTAAAATATATATTTTGAATAGTCAGCGTGTGCTCCTTAATTCAGAAATCTACTTTTAAATAGAAGCTTATTTTACTAACTTACTTTTATTTACTTTACAGCACTGTGCTGTGGCCTCCTTGCATCCCAAGCGAAAACAAGTGACAGAATTGTTGCTTAGAAAAGGAGCAAATGTTAACGAGAAAAATAAAGAGTAAGTGCCGTTGCAGTTGTCCGGTTCTTAAAGGGGAAGTGCACTGGGCGTTAGTAAACTGCCTCCTCTGCTCTCCACAGCTTCATGACCCCGCTGCACGTTGCCGCCGAGAGAGCCCACAACGACGTCATGGAGGTTCTGCACAAGCACGGAGCAAAGGTGAGGCGTACCCTGCACACAGAGTGCCACCCTTGGCATTGCGTGGCCAGCTGCTCTTACGGCTGTTAATTTCTTCCAGAAAATCAGAGAGAAAACAATTTTATAAAGGACTGTTTGTGCGTATTTGAATTCATTGATTCTCCTTTAAAGCTGATATAAATCTTATATCTAGTAAAAAGATTTACCTGTGTTTCATTGTAATTTACTATCGCTCTTCTACAAGGCAATAAAATGTAACTACAGTCTTAGCATTTGAAATACATTTCAACTTTGCATTATTTTATTTTAATACTGGAATTGATATTTTTTATAGTCAACACCAGTGATGGTTTATCAGAAAATAATTTAGGTAAATAGTAGTCAAAATATCACTATTTATTTTAATGAACATCTTTATTTCTTCAAACTGATAATGATAATTTTTTCCAATAACCTCAATACTAGAGAGTATTTAAGAGTTTTAATTTGTTAAAATAGTAATCTTTATTTAAGGATAAAAGAATTAAGATCTGTTAATGGTTGCTGTGCAGATTTATGCTGGCAGCCTCCTTAGGTCCACGTGTCAGCCTGTCTGGGCCACGTCCCAGGCCCAGGCGTTTCCTGAGGAAGTGTGGGAGTCTGACTAGGGAGGGGTTGGCGGTGAAAGACTCCCTCACCTGTTCACTTTCAGCACCTTGTGGCGTATTGCACTTTACATGTGCCCCACTCAGGAGATGGATGGATGTTACCCCAGCCAGTGGGATAGAACCCTTATCAACACCATTGTTGATGATAAGAGGGAATGACCGTGGCAGTGTGACAGCACACAGAGGTTGTCTGGCTAGTTCATAAATTAAATTTTCACGAATTGTCATACTTAGTGTTGTGCTTTTTTAATAAAAATAAGAGAGTTCAAAATTTGCTGATAGTTCTTTGACAACAAATGACTATTACTTGTATATACGTACTTTTTTAAAAAGCAAAACATAATCAGACCCTTAAAGGTAAAAGTTACATATTTTAGAATGAATAAGAAAGTAACTGAGTTTTAAAAGGAACTTTTAAAAATGAAGAGGATATTTTGAAAATAGATTTTTAGAAAATGTCCATTATCTTTTTAAATTTGTTTTGCCCCCAAAATGGTATGAATGTGTCACCCAGTTCTCTTATCTATATAATTAAAAACCTTGAAATCCAATTTCTAAACTGTTTTAAAAGACTTTCTTAATTTGTGTTTAGATGGTTTTTGAATCTATTAAAGACGCTTTAATGCAGCATCTCCTTATAAGTTCATAAGAACATCAAGAAAGATGCAATCTTAGTAGCAAAATGTCAGTTCAAGCTTTAGTGTAGTTAGTTAAATTACATGAAAAACGAGCTGTGCAATTTAGAAGGCATTGCCTCCAAGGCACTTTCTCCAGCGGCTCTGCATGTCTGTGGGGAGCCCCGTCAGCCTTTGGGACCAGCCCTTGGAGGAGCGCTGAGTCAGGCCCGCGCATCTCTGTCACAACTTTTAAAGGATTTTTCTTTTCATTGAGCCAAAAGGTATTTTGTACCATTGGTAATTGAAATATTTTTAAAATATATTTTATTGATTATGCTATTATAGTTGTCCCATTTTCCCCCTTCACTCCCCTCCACCCTGCCCATCCCCTCCCACCCACATTCCCCCCCTTTAGTTCATGTCCATGTGTCATAAGCTCTTTAGCTTCTACATTTCCCATACTATTCTTGCCCTCCTCCTGTCTATTTTCTACCTACCATCTATGCTACTTATTCTCTGTACCTTTTCCCCCTCTCTCCTCCTCCCATTGCCCTGTTGCTAACCCTCCATGTGATCTCCATTTCTGTGGTTCTGTTCCTGTTCTATTTTTTTGCTTAGTTTGCTTTTGTTTGATGTCTTTTTTTACTGTTCATAGTTTTTATCTTCTTTTTCTTAGATAAGTCCCTTTAACATTTCATATAATAAGGGTTTGGTGTTGATGAACTCCTTTAACTTGGCCTTATCTGAGAAGCACTTTATCTCCCCTTCCGTTCTAAATTAAAGCTTTGCTGGATAGAGCAATCTTGGATGTAGGTCCTTGCCTTTCATGACTTGGAATACTTCTTTCCAGCCTCTTCTTGCCTGTAAGGTCTCTTTTGAGAAATCAGCTGACAGTCTGATGGGAACTCCTTTGTAGGTAACTGCTGCTTCTAGAATTCTCTCCTTCATTTTTACCTTGGGTAATATAATTATGACATGCCTTGGCGTGTTCCTCCTTGGGTCCAACCTCTTTGGGACTCTGAGCTTCCTAGACTTCCTGGAAGTCTATTTCCCTTGCCAGATTGGGGAAGTTCTCCTTTATTATTTGTTCAAATAACTTTTCCACTTGCTTTTCCTCTTCCCCTTCTGGTACCCCTATAATTCGGATGTTGGAACATTTAAAGATGTCCTGGAAGTCCCTAAGCCTCCCCTCATTTTTTTGAATTCTTGTTTCTTCATTCTTTTCTGTTTGGTTGTTCCTTTCTTCCTTCTGGTCCCTTCCATTGATTTGAAACCCAGTTTCCTTCCCATCACTATTGGTTCCCTGTGCATTTTCCTTCATTTCTCTTATCGTAGCCTGCATTTGTTCATCTAATTTATGACCAAAGTCAACCAATTCTGTGAGCATCCTGATCACCAGTGCTTTAAACTGTGCATCTGATAGGTTGGCTATCTTTTGGTCACTCAAAAAAACTGGCTCTGGGGCTTTTAACTCTGTTTGAGCCATCTTTTTTATTTTATTTTATTTTTTTCCTTTGGTCTGGTCGTGCCTGTTATGTATGAGGGGCGGAGCCTTAGGTGTTCACCAGGGCGGGGCACCTCAGTCGCTGGGTTGTGACGTTGTATATGGGGGCAGAGTCTGAGAGGGAACTGTGGCGCCCGCTCCACTCTCATCAGGACTTCAGTCCCCTTTGCTGCTTCCCACAAGCAAATTGGGCCCCTCTGGTGCTGGCTCCCGGGCGGGTGGGCTTGTGCACTCTCTCGGACTCTGTGGGTCTCTCCAAGGAGCCTCCTGTGAGGCTGAGAGAATCTCCCGGCCTCAGCCCCCACAGGTGTTTTCAGTCGGTGCCTTTAGGCTTTGTTTCCTGGCACTGGGTCCCTGGGTTGCGAGGTCTGTGTTGCTGCCCGTTTTCGCTTAGTTTGTCTGCGCGCGAACGTGTGGCTGCAGACAGCCACACTGCGCCCCTCACTGGGTCTACTAGTTGCCTCCCACGCCCAGGGTCTGCCACCGGTCCGCCAGCTGCCGTCTGCACCCTGCATGCCCGCGTCTGCCAGCCACCGCTTTTTCCTGCCGGTATCCCTCCACCCCTCTCCGTAGGCCTCCAACTCCGCCCCTCCTTACCAGTCTGGATGTATGGTAGTCATACTTCCATTGGGTTCATTTCTCTCTTTTGTGGTTGTTTTTTGTTTGTAAATTTTTGTTGTCCTTAGTTTTGGTTGCTCGAGGAGGCACAGTGAGACTACCTATGCCTCCATCTTGGCCGGAAGTCCGGTAATTGAAATATTTTTAAAATTTGAATTGTTTCATCTCTTTCCTGCCCTTGGTAGTTACTCTTTTGTACAAGTATTATACATATTTATTATGTATTAGTAGAACACTGCTTTGTTGTAATTTACAAATGAGCGCATGTATGTTGTGTGTTCTTAAAACATTTTTTATTCATGAAGTACATGATCGATCCAAACATGTGGCAATCCTTGCTTTAAAAGGACAGTTTTTAATTAAAAAATCAAGATCATCTGAAATGAAAGGGAACAGAGATTTACAGATTTATTACCTGTTTTGAGGGTACCATACTGCATTGTTACATAAATAAGGTCTTGTTGCTTTTAAGCAGACAATATTAAGCTAAGTGGGCTTTCTGCTACACTTCAGAGCATCACATTTACCATTGACCTATTTTTCAAAATACATTATAGCACCTTGGCTGGTGTGGCTCAGTAGATTGAGCGTAAGCCTACAAACCAAAAGGTCGCTGGTTCAGTTCCTGGCCAGGCCCATGCCTGGGTTGCAGGCCAGGTCCCCAGTTGGTGGCAGGCAAGAGGCAGCTGGTCGATGTTTCTTTCCCACATCGATGTTCTCTCCCCTTTCTAAAAATAAAATCTTTAAAAGTAATATTTTAAAAATGTAAAACCTTATGGTATTTATAATGTTCTTAAAAACCCATGAATAAGGCTCTTCATTTTGGGAAAATATTTGCTGTCTCCCATGAGTCATTTTATGTCATGAAGGTTCAGTGAAAAATAGCATCATTTTATAACCTGTCCTAGTCAGCGTTACTCGAGCGCTGTGGTTCTCAGTCTTTGGCCGCCCTTCATGTTCACAGTGCCTTCTCATCAATAACGTCAGAATCCATCAGTGGGGCATGTGTACTTTGAAACACCTTGCCAGTGATACAGAATGACTTTTGCACTAGCATATTCTCCCTAGTTTTCCACTACAGTTAAACTCAATCCCCAATACCTGTTATTAGGTAATTCAGAATACCTGTTATTAGGTACATTAAAATGGGAGGGGGGAGTCCTATTTACTGGGGCTGTGAACCAATGGATACCAGTTGCCATCGTCCAGTGACTCCTTCCCTGGTTCCAAAACAGGCTGCTGTCCCTTGGGGTTGGTTTACGTGGTGACTAATGCATTAGTAAAAACCCAACTTAGCTACTGTGGGCCCTGACGTGTGCTTGCTTAGTGTTCTTTCTGGGGAACTTATGGTTTCAGTTTGATTTTCAGGCACCTTGTGGTTTCCCATCTGATTCTAAAAACACCTCCAAAACAAGCAGCACCAGCCTTGAGTGAAGATTCCCCCCGTCTTGCAGTACGTCCACCGTCGTGCCGCCCTCTCTACAGGACAAGTCCTCCAGCCAAGGCCCTTGAATCAGGAAGGGCAGGGAATCTGGCAGGGAGAGTTACTACCAGTAATTAATGTCTGTCTTAGAAAGAACTCAGTGACAATGATATAAGCCAAAGCATTCTTTTGCATGTTAGACTAAACATATT